AACAGGATCAAGTGTCGGGCGGTAATCCGCCATGACTTCTCAATTAAATTAAAACAGAAATCACCGTTTAACCGGGAACTGGCTTCGTTTCGCACCTTCTTCGACACTACAACGGTCGTAAAGGTCTCCACCAGTTAAAGATTTCTATTTTAACATATTTGAGAATTCTTAATCTAGCTAATTCAGTACCCTTATATTTAAAGACTGGCGGTAATCCGCACAATCAGTAAGGATAAGAATTGAAATATACTTGAATTTTATATATAGTTTAATGACTGTATGGAAGGTTAAAAACCTTTAATATATATATATATTAGGGTATTATACATAAGAATATATATATATATATATATATATATATATATATATATATATATGTAAAATTTCTTATATACTATGAGGTCACTTAAAGATATTAACATGTAATGTTTCATAAAAAGTGGGATTTATAATATGAAATAAGATCGATTACCTGATATAATATATAAAAATATTATTTATTTTACACATTAGGTGAATATATGTTAAACCTTTTATTTTATTGGTTTTAACTTTTATAGATCGACAGTTAAATATTTGTTTATACTGTTAGGTCACTTAAAAAATAAGTACAAGTAATTACTCATAAGTGAAACTATTTATCTGAAAAATAACAGAAGCAACCTGCTATGAAAAGTTAAATTATACTAATTGTATAAAGATTCTTTACACTGTAAGAATGTATGGGCAATATTTATTTTATCCGTTGGGATAATACATAAATGGGAAAATTTCTAAATAAAATTTTGCCTCTTATTAGAGTAGTAATTCTCTTCTTCTACTCTAGTTATACACAGTATATAGTTTGCAAATGAAGTAAAATTCAGAAGAACTCTAAATCAAGAACCATGACCAACTGCAGAGGCGGATGGAGCCTATGTTCATTGAATTCAATTGAACCCAATATTTTTGATACAGAATGTAACTAGTAATAATCTAATAGATATATATATAAAAAAAGTACTGAAATTTCAATAAACCGATAATTTGAAATGAAAATTACAATGAGTTTTCAGTACTAAAAGATTAAATCTATCAAGTTTAAATCTTGAATTCTTTTCTGACTAAATGTTCAAATGTGACAGAAAGATTTATGAATCAGAAGACTTGTCCAATATGTTTCAGAAATCCAGGGTTATTCACATACTAGTACTCAAATAGCTAGTAAGCAAAGATTCTCTTCAGACTTACATGATATATAGAAGAAAAAGAAGAAGATGGAAATGCAAATTTACTCATGAATACACAGGTAAAACATTTCAAAGTGCTTACTGTAATAACTTAAGAAGTATCTCTAAGGTCTCAAATCTGAGCCTTAAGAACGGAGAAACTCCTTATAGAAAGCGCTTTCCCCTTTATAGTTCTTTCCATTTTTGCACCAGATCCTGTAGTCGGTAGGTCAAATTCCTCTGTTCAAGTGATCGAGTTGAAGCTTTGGGGATAGAGCGGAGCGAAGTCGGGAAGAGGAGTAGAGTCCAGCTTCTCTTTCCCTTTCTTCAATAATATTGTTTCCACCAACCTTATTTTGGTTAACTCTTTCACCTTCTAACTCTCTATGCTTGTGCAAATACCTCTTTAATGGCTCAACATAATCATCAAATCCCAAACTTCCCAAAGCCCAACAAATATCATCTCCATTCACAGTCTTTCTCTTCTCATTGTGACACTTATCTGAGGCTTCTCCAGTGACAAAACTAATAAACTCAGAAACACATTCTTGCATAGTTTCTTTAGCTTCTTTTGAAATCTTGGCATTTGGTGGTAGAATTTGCTTCATAATTCTCCCAACATTAGCTATTGGAAGTAATCGTTCTTGCTCCTTAATCACTACATCTTCAGTACTTGAGGAACCACTAATTGAATAATTGTAAGATTTATGACTTTCTCTATCATATTTAGAACCTAATATGTTGATATTATCAACCATCTTTTTCTTTCTATAAGGAGAAACCTATAACACATGTCTGTCTATAGTTTGTTTCTTTATAAGCCCATTTGCATTTTATTATGTTTAATGAAGAGCTTAACTTTTATCAGTATAAGAAATATTTTAGGTCAATATAAGAGATAATTATAGTTAACTAAGTTTATAATAATTGTGAAACACCTAAAAAATAAGTTAAGACCTATTAGAACATGTTAACATGTATATATTTATTTTTTATATTGTAAGTGTATATAAGTTAATTCCTTAAATATTATATCAAAACCGTGCAGAAGTTAAAACTTGTGATGCATATCAGAGTGTACAAAACTTAAAACTTTATAATATAGTGTAATATAGCAAAAGATTCGGTAAAATATACAAATTAAATAGCATCTATACGAAACGTAATGGCAGGCAGATTCTCGCTGATGGCACTAAGTTAGGTAAATTTTTACTTATGTATGATTGTATGTTATTCGAGGATGCTAAAGATGGTTTTCTAGGTTTTATATGTATATAATATTGCTTTCATCAATTAGTGATTATATGGTCCCCTCTCCATTCTCTTCTAATTACTCTTTAAGTTGAAAGTGGAAACCCTTGAGTTTGATAACCTACTAAGTAGGTTTTGACAGAAGAAAATTGTCACTTTGGTCTCCAAGAAAGAAGGGCGATAATAATATATAGGTTTAGCTGGCATACATGTGTCTTGATTTGGCAGGCAAAGTTGAGTAAATTAATGAAAAATAGGACACTAATTATTGGTGCAGAATTATTAATTAAGTTACATGTAAGGATTGGAACTGTGTCTTCTAAATTATCGTGGCACTCAAGCGTTAGGAAAATGACTTTTTAAAAAATAAAAATAAAAATAAAATTGGGAAAATGACTTGTTGGATTATTTAGAAAATTATAAAAAAAAAAAAAAAATTATTCACACTCAATATTTATACTAGCTTAATAAATATATAACATGTGTCTTTATATACATAATATCTAGTTAATACAGTATAATTTAATAATAGTAAACTAATTATACATACACGCTTACCTTAACTTTATGATTTAATAATGGTAAATTATTACAATTTGATGTAAACATTGGATGTGAGTAAGCTTTTTTAAGCAAGAAAAAATTTCACTCACAATTTGATGTGCACATTGGTAAATTGATGATTAGTCAACTTCAGAAGAATATCCACATGAGATAAGGCTCAGCTCACGATCTCGAAGAACTACATTATAGTCTTGACAAATGACGTATAATAGTTACTTCTTTCGATCAATTATTACAAAATGAAAAAGTAATATTGAGAGACATAATTAAATAAATAAAATATGTTTTTTCTAATAATTTAAAATTTAAATGCAATGATTTCACGTTTTAGTGTGGTATTGGAATAGGCTATTATTGAGATAGCTAATATCATTATTTTAATATAAAATTTATATAAATTTTAGTTAATATCCATAACCAAACACAAAAATAAATATTATTTCAAATTTTATCCCACGATTAGTATCGTTATCACCTTAACAAAATGACCCCTTATGTTATTATGGACATAGTCCAATAGGCACATTTGTGTTTGATGGCAAGACAAGATGAGTTGAGTACCAGTACTTGAATTTTGGTAACAATTAAACTTGAATTTTTTATTTTATCTTTATTAATAAATTTTTATAGCTATACAAATATTATACATGCTTAATATCATATTTCGTAAAATTTTTATAACCAAAAAATAATTTTTCCCTAAAGTCCGTTATTAATTGAACTACGTTATATAAATCGAAATAGAGAGTTTTATAGCTTTACCCACAAAAACTAAACTACTTATCTTTACCTACCTATTGATTTTTCTACCCATCAAACTAATCACTCTTCCTACCCATTGCAGCTTTTGTGAGTAATTGTTTCTTTTTTTTTTTTCTCATTTTCTTTTTTTATTTCTCTGCTTTTGTTTTTTCTTTCTTTCTTTTCTCCTTTTATTTTTTCTCATTTTTATTTATTTATTTTCTTTCTTCTTCTTTTTTTCTGTTCATATATTTGTTTTTCAGAATCATATTATTCTTTTTTTTTTTATTCACCATAATCTGCTTTTATACTCAATTTGGATCGTTTCTTTACATTTTTTTATTTTTATTTTTATTTCCTTTTTTTTATTTTTTTTAATTTCGTGTTCCTTTTCTAATTTCATTCAAAAAAAATTTAATTTCCTTTTTTTTCCCATATTACTATTTTATGTCTTCCGACACCTACTTATACAATGAATATTATTTTCATAGAACTCCATCAACATTCATTTAAGAAAATATTTGCAAGGACCTAGTTGGAAAAATTTAAAAAAATAAAATAAAAAATGACTTATTTATTACGGTATGCTGTTATATCATATTGTATACTATAACAGTATAATGTTACTATAACCATGACTTTAGCTCTGCACAATAGCACCTAGATGATTCAACAAATAGCAGTCGAACTATACTATTATGGTATATTGTATACTATTACAACATATTGTTGCAATATATTGCATATTATTACAATATACCATTATACTATATTGTATACAATAGTAGTATATTATTGCAGTATAACTATATACTCTTACAATATATTGTATACCATAGCAGTATACTGTTAGGTAACTGTGTTCTTTTTCGATTATTATAGTATACCGTTGTAGTATATTGTATAATATAACAATATACTATTGCAGTATAATTATATATTCCTACAACATATTGTGTACCGTAGCGGTATACTGTTGGGTAACTGTATTCTTTTTCGAATTTCAACTGAAAAATTCAATCTCAATCACCTCAAATTAGCTTCAACTGCGATCAAATATAGAAAAGTATTTTTATTAGCATGAAAGAAATTTTGAGTATGTAGTTTCGAAGTATATGGGTTTGATTAAAACGTAATGCGATAAAAATGATTCATATGGTTGATCATAATTGATTAGAGATTGAGACATGGTGGACCAATTTATTTATTTTATTATGCCATTGGTTCATAGTTAATAAGTATGTGAATTTATTTCAAAATTAAAAAATAATGCTAGAGTTATTTCTACATATTAGATTAGATTTGTTAAAGCAAAGCTGAATAATTTTTTTTTTTTTCTTCTTCTTTTGTGGAAGGCTTGGAATCAAACTCGCGACCACAGAGGCTATGAGCCACCATCCCACCTGCCACCTAACCAATGTATACCATCCAACACTTGGTTGCTCGCTTAGTATATTGAACAAACTTGACATGCATAGCACATGGTTACCGTGCACTATGTATTTCTGAAAAAAAAAAAAACTCGGGTAACAATCTTTTACTGCAGATGTTAGCCCAAGCCTATATAGCCAGGGGCGGCCGAAGTAAATATAGCACGTGCTAGTCAGTGTTCGGATGAGTAATTAAAAAATAGTCACTATTTAACTGTAATACGAAAAGTTCCAACATAATATACTGGAGATTGGTGCATCTGTGTATGAACTTCCAGCATATTATACCGGAATTCCAACACACGGAAAATTCCAGCATAATATACTGGAGATTGGAGCACATGTGTATGAACTTCCAGCATATTATACCGGAATTCCAACACACGGAAAATTCCAGCATAATATACTGGAGATTGGAGCACATGTGTATGAACTTCCAGCATATTATGCTGGAATTCCAGTATATTATGCTGGAAGTCTAGTATATTATGCTGTAATATTTTTCAGATTTTAAACAGTGTTTTCGTTCAGATTTATCTTTACATGAAAAGTGGCTAAATTTCGATTACTTTTGATACTGTGACTATTTTTTAATTACCACTTGTAAATCTGCCTATTTTTGAATTTCACCCGCGGCCGAAGAGTAAGGCTACTAAAGCCACTGTCTTAAGTCCCCAAAACTAAAGGGCCCCAAAAATATTACTAGGAGTATACTATATTATTATGCATAACATATACTACTTAATTTTATACAATAATTATTAATAAGAGATTTCAAATTTTAACAATTTATTTATTTTGTTGAGGTTATAAAGATGAGTTAGAAAGTTCATTCATTTCTTTTCATTTTTTTGTCTATTTTATTTTCTGACTTTAACTCATCGTCTCTTACTTAGCTACTTTATTTAGTCATAGTTTGATGGATCAATACATTAGAAAGAAATTTTTTTGTCTCATTATTTATATGAATTTTACGAAATAAATTTAAGGGACCTTTTAATATAACTTGGCTTTAGTTCACTAAATCTATTGAGCCGCCTCTGTATATAGCACATGGGATACATGCGTATATATATATATATATATATATATATATATATTAATGTTCTTTTTTTTTATTTTTTTTATATTATCTCATTTGCTAAATTTTCACATCATTTTGGTTCCCAACTCCTCTCCATGGGGCTAGTAGGCTCGTTCTATGTTTTCAAGCCTTTGAATAGGTATTGAGGTAAGTTCTAAGTATTATGGCGTAAAATATCCATACACAATCAATTTATTTAAGTAGTAATTATAAGTAATTCTATTTAATAACGTTAATTTATTATTTGAAATAGATGATAAGTAACATAATATAATAAGTTAAATTATACTGATAATATAATATTATTATACTGATAATATATGTTACCTAAATCTTAAATTTTATATTACATTTGTTTAAGAAGATGAAATGTTCCGAGTATATATTACAGTCAATTTTTTATATTTTAACTCTGTTTTACGCAATAATTTTATTTAACTTATATAGTTTTTTTTTAATGTAGTTAAAAACTAATTCAACTTTAAACTAGAATATGAAAGTTAGGAATACAAACTCAACTTTATATAGTAGGCAGTTAACACACAGTCACACATACGTTCGTGCATGCGAGAGAAGTAAGATGCGTGGCAGAGAGAAAACAAGCAGTTTTTAAGTTTGTGGGAAATATAATTGCATCTTTATCTTTGTAAGTCGGCCCCCCTTTTCCCATGAAAGTGGACAAAAGTTAGATCAGTCCAAAACTGCTTGAAATAATGAGAAATTAAGATAAGTACAACACATATATTAAATTCAACTGAGATGCATATAAACATTTGTTTTTATTGTCTTGATTGGCTGAGTTGGCTAGGCGAGTGCTACGTGAAAGAACTGTAATTGATTTTCTTTACTAACTGTCTAATCCTGTCGTATTGAACTTGTTTAATGCGATTTACATATCCTATATAATTTGTGAGTTATTGCATAATGAATAAGTTATCTAGTGCGCACCAAAAGAATAAAAAGAAACAAATTATACGTCCCTGGTTCTTTTTCACAATTCTGTTTTACTCTTTGACAATTGAGTTGGAAGGTCAACATTTGCTATTCATACTTTGAAGTCTAATTACAAGGCACCCTTTTTCCAGCTTTTGGGAACTGATATTCAATGTTCATGGGAGGTGAAACTAGTTGTTGTTTATGATAAATTCGTTGTTATATACTAGTAGTAGTATTTATGAAGTATCATTTGCTTCTTAGTCTTCTTCTCCTCCTCAAATTTCTAGCTCTGTGTGTTTAACGAATTCTGTATGTGTAACTGACTTTATTATTTTCTGCTTGAGTTATATATATAATAGTAATAACTACACTAATCTTAATCAAGTTCTAATTGGTGATACGAATTCTCGTCGATCATGTTGCTCCATTTAAATTATATATTTCGTATTATGAGAAATTTATAGTCAATTTTAAACTAATTGTCAGCTTACAACACATCATCAATATGAATAAGTTCACCTTGATAGAGTTATGCTTGAACTAGGTATACATATAAAAGAAATTAAATGATATACATATAATAGAATCATACTATTATGAACTCATTAAATTTCATTAAATTTAAATTCTAATTTCGCTCCTTTTTCTATCTATTATTGCTCACATTACTTGCTTTTGCAGTGGCTAGTTATTCAATAAAGTTCTAAAAGTTGATGCTGAGGTACAAATCAAGAAGAGGGGTGACTAGCACACAAGTTCATATGGCAGACCAAAGTTCTTTTCCTTCTCCCAATTCCACCCAAAATCACAAAAATAAACCAATTTCATCCTTAATTTCTCCAAGATTTTTCAATAGTTTTCTAACCAGAAGCCTATCTGACACTGAAACTACTAAAACAACAGTAAATACGTCTCAATTTCAAACAAGTCGAGATCGACTATATGACTTTGAAACTATTACTAGCCCAAATTCCATTCTTGATAGCATGCACAATTTCAATCTTGGGAACCCTTTTGGTTATGATAGAACATCATCAAAGCCCATCACTAAAAAGCCTTCAAATAACAAGATGGAATCAGAAAGTATTGGACTTGCTCTCATTGATTCCAAGGAAATTAGCAGTGTTTCTAAGGCTTTGTTTGGAGCAAAGCACAAAGTTGAAATCCCATGTTCTTCAACTGAGTCCCTAGAAGTTAAAAAAATTTCTTCTGGGGATGTTGGTGAAGGGCTAAGTTTAACAGAAATGGAGAGTTCAGAGGATTACACTTGTGTGATAAGTCATGGTCCAAATCCAAAAACAACTCATATATTTGATAATTGCATTGTTGAACGCTGCTGTGGAGTTAGAAAATTGTCTGAATTGACAAAAGAGAATGGATTTTTGGGAGGTGATTCAAATTCTTGTTTGCCAGAGAAAATTCTGAGTTGTTGCAACTCTTGCAAAGTTGATCAAACAGAGTGCAAAGACATATACATGTAAGTTCTTGTATTAGGAATAGATCCTTTTTGTTTGTTTGTAACTCTTGCCTATGTATGAGCTTACAGTTTAGTTGTATTGGTAGATAGTATATCTGGGTTCGAGTTCAATTTTCATTATAACTTAGTTGATTCACTGGGTTCAAGATCAATTATTATACCTATTCAGTAAATTTTTAAACATATATAATTCGAACTAAAATTACTAGGTTCGAATGATCTCATGCTTCACATTCGTCTTTCACATTATAAGTGTGTCTTCAATTCGCGCTATCCCTATTTCTCTTTACCATAATAATTAGTTTTTTTTAAAAAAAAAATTAAACACATTTTCATTTGAGCTTCGCAATTAAATGTAATCGGTTCCACTTAGGTAGAAAGAAGGATGATCAAATGTTAGCATATAGTTTGATTATGATGAATCTCATGAAGTGAATTGAATAGAAAGAAAATATAGAATTAAATAATTGATTCTATCTAGGTTTTACCTAAATTAAATTGTCCTTTGACTGTTTATTTTGGCGTCTGAGTTCGGTTGCACATACCTTTATTTTATTGAGCCAGTTTGTTATTTTTCATCAATACATGTATTAAATTTGAATATTAATCTTTCATCATTTTATTTATTGCTAGACCACTTCTTTGAATGTATGTACAACTGTAATTTTAAACGTTCATGATGATTATGAACGATAAAAACAGTCAATACTTGTATTAGGGTAGACTGTATGCATCATACTTATCGGAATGCGAAATTTTCTTAAACTTTATGTGAACACGATATATCTTGTATATTGAATTATCCGTGTCATGATAATTATGGACAATATTTATGTACAATTTAGACAGATGAAAAGTAATCACTTAAAACGTTATATGATGTAAGAGCAATCTTTGTACATCCTGCAGGGGTGAAAAGACTTAACTTGCAGCCATGAATGCCAAGAGATGATTTTGGAAGGCCAAGGCCAGGAATCAACGAATGAGAGATGATGAATTGTACTATGATTTTAGGACTATAGTGATATTTATTTTCATGCTTATCTGCTTTGTTACTTTTGGAAGAATTTTGGCATCTTTAAAAGTGGATATGAATGAAGTCTATTTTCTAATATGAGTGAGATAAGACTTGTGGTGGACCAATGAGAAGGTTGTTGCTCCGTCAAATCTAACGTGGTTTTGTTGGAATTCTTTTTGACTTTCTAATCTTATACTCCATTTTCTTTGCCTTATAATTACGATGTAATCTCTCTAATAGTACAATTTAAGAGTTTAAGCCTATGAGTTTGCTTACTTTATTGATCTTTAAATTCTAATAAAAATTTTGAGAAGTTGACATCAGCATAAAATTTGTCAATTCATTATAATTGTCGTTAAAGTCGAACAGAAATTTGGTAAGTAATCTAGCAACGCAGAACTCCTGAGGTTGTAAGTCTAGGTGACTCGATGTTTAAAAGAAAAACGCAGATATGCTCGATCAAAGAAAAAATAAAAGAGAAAAATATACAAATAGTCATTTAAAAAAAATATTAGTGTATATTTTTTTATATAGTCATTAGTGTATATCTTTTCGTTTCTATATAATATTTGAAATTTATTTATTAAAATTGTTCTAATTTTGTATATTACTTGCCCTAAACAAGGATTACTTACAAATTATATACATTCCACCTTAAAAGGCTCCGAATTCATTATTAGTGCCTTAAATTAGGGGATTTACTTATACTATTTTTTTTTCTTCTCTCCTCCCCTCAATTTCCCTATTCTTTGTCTCTCTCCACCCAAAATTCCGGTAAATGAGAGCCAAAATTCGTGGGCAGTGAAGCCATGCTTCATATGAAGATAATTTAAAACTTTAAATGCAATATCCTTTCTTGCCAAGTACGCATCTGAATGTTGCGTTGTTTCCATAGTTGGCATATCAACTATTCCTTTTAATTGCATAATTATTTTGCATTCCTTAGTTGCCAACATGGTTTCCTTAAGAAATATAAATTGTTTCTTTCATTGCAGAATCCTTACTTTTCTTAACTGACTTATCTTTTTTCTTTTCACCTAGTTCATCCCAGAAATTCGGAACAGATTTGTGCTATCCTCCATGTTCTTTTCCAAAGCTTCTGTAACAATGGTGAATATCAAATGATCTCGAAATTAATTGGAGTTGAAGCGTAAGTAGAACAAAGAGATGATAAATTTGTATGGTACAATAACATACAAATTAAAAAATAAATTTCATAAAAATTTAATATAAATTTGATACATATACAACATCATATAAACTAAAAATAAATTTTATACAACTAATTATACAATATACAACTTATTTATAACTTATCTACAACTTTCATATATACTAAAAATAAATTTTATACAACTAATTATACAATATACAACTTATTTATAACTTATCTACAACTTTCATATATACTAAAAATAAATTTCATATAATTAACTATACAGTATATACTTATTTATAACTAATCTACAACTTATCTACTATCACGATCCAATTTAGGATCATGACTGGCACTTGGGTGCAAGTACCCCTAAGTAAGCCTCATCGATATTTTACAGAAAATCAGACAGAGTTTTCCCTATTTTAAGACTATCCAAAAATTTTCCTGTCTGATAAATAATTAACAACCAACCAATATTCACCCAAATAAGTCACAATCTTCATCAACTAACCAAAATAAATTTTCACCAACATTACCATTACCAACATAATAATACTAAACTCATTTCAAAATATGGAGAGAAAGTGTAATACTAGTAACTAGTCTAATATAACGAATGAATCATCATGACACCAATAAGAATGACTATGGAGAGACTCTAAGAGTTCAAAAGAAAAGACAATAACAATAAATAAACTTTTCGCCCACGCGAACAAGTGCGGGGCTCACCAGGAATTAGCAACTCGTGTACTCTAATTAACGAAATCCTCGCTCGCGTCATCTAGTGTCTCTGTAAAATAAATAGTGGGGAGTGAGTCGCTAGCTCAGTGAGTAATAACACTTAACCACAACCGTTTTTAATTGGGGACAAGTCAGAAAACATGCTTGTTAACCCGAAAATATAATAAAAATGCCCTTTCAGAAACAATAAACAATAATCCGTTTCATCATCTGTTTCATATAAATAAAATTCAATTATCAATTCTGTAATAAACTCGGTAAACATTGTTTCATAGCAAATCTTTTTGTTTGGGAGGTTTCCAAGGAAGGATCATGTAATATGTATCATTGTGTGAACCCCTTCGTAAAAAGAGTCCAATCTAACTGTAGGTCCCTACTCGAGGGAAAACTGTAATTGTATGCTAGTTCTACCTTCCCACTAGCGAGGGCTATAACTGTACTCGGTAATCGGTAATTACAAGGTGCAACAGGTCTAACGAACCCTCCGTTAGCTACGGGATCCTTCAAAGTCTCCTCCCATTTATACTCTTTCTTGTAAACAGTAAATACTCGTACGAAAGCATTTTAAAAATAGCAAAGGGCATCATTTCTTTCAAATCTTGTAATTTTATTTCGAGAATAATAATCAAATCTCAAGTAACAGTAAAATATATCTAGTAACGGTGAAAATATTTAGATTAACCGGTAAACATCTCAAGTAAATTATTCGGTACCATATCAAGTAAATGACTTGTCCCACATGTAATTTCAAAACATCAGTAACACATTTATTTTTAAAATAATATATAAACCATGCAGGTTATGAAAACACAAATTGTGGTAAGATTACTACTCACAGTACTCGTGTCAAATACCAAACTAGTCACCTCGAGCGGTCCGTATAACTTTCTCCGATCAATCTAATATCACATCATATCAATCTCGTGTCAATTTTCTAGTTTAAACTAATTCATAACTAATTTAAAATATCCAACCATCGGGGTTCATGTTTGAGTCTTAATTTATGGATTCATATTTAATCATAGAACTAGTCCATAATTCTATCAATTTTAAACTATTTAGTATAATTTATTCCTCTAAAATTAGGCTTATCAGTGCTTAAACCATACTTTTATAGCCTTACTATCCATAGTAATTATATATATATTTTATATAAAAGAAAGCTGATATTAAATTCTTTTGTACTACATAAAATCGCATAGATGTAGTGAAATAATTCAACAGATGAGAAGAAGAAGGTTAACCTCTTGAGTCGAAGGAGAATTTTAATACTTTCAATTTCAACCCCTAGTTCTTCTTAAAGCCTTTGTCCAAAGCTTTCTTCTTCTTCTTTTTCTCTTTCTTTCTCTCTCTGCTTTTGGTTTTTTCTTCTGTTTCTCGTTTTCTCTAGAAGCCAAAAGCTTATTTTCTTTCTAAACCCTTTTTAAACCTTGGTAGGTTACTTTCTAATGGGCGTCGGCCCTTTTGTTTCCATCCCCCCCTCCCCCCCCCTCCTTTTTTTGTTTTATTTGTTTGTTTTATTTTTAATAATTTGTTAAATGTCCAATATGTCCTTATTTAAAATATTGGGGTCCTACATCCTCCCCACCTTATGAAATTCGGTCCCCGAATTTAACTTTAGTACGTACGTGTAGACTGAAATAAGTGAGTATACTTGACTCGCATAGAATCTTCCACTTCCCACGTAGCTTCTTCAACTGTATGAGTTCTCCATAAGACTTTTACAAACAATAATTCTTTTGACCGTAGTTTTCTTACTTGTCTATCAACAATAGCAATCGGCTCGTTCTCGTAAGATAAATTCTTATCAAGAGGTATAGTCGGTTCTTCAAGAACTTGAGAGAAGTCCAATATATATATATATATTTTTTTTTTGCATACAGACATGAAACACTGAATTAGTAAAATACAACTCAGAAGGAAATGTGAAACGATAAGCCACATCTCCCACTCGGTCTAGTATCTCATACGGTCCTATAAACCTAGGGCTCAACTTACCTCTTTTTCCATACCGCATTACACCTTTCATAGGGGAGACTCGTAGGAACACTGTATCCCCGATTGTGAACACTAACTCTCTTCTTCTCTTATCCGCATAAGACTTTTGTCTATTATGAGTTGTGAGCAATCTGATCACTGGACCTTGTCAATAGCTTCTTGTACTAAGTCGGGTCGTAAAAAGTTAGTCTCATAGGTTTCAAACCATCCGATAGGAGAACAACATCATACACTTATACAAGGCTCCATACGGTTCCACCTAAATACTAGACTGAAAGCTATCGTTGTAGGCAAAATCAACTATAGATATATAAGCGTACAAGCTACCTCTAAACTCAAATTGTAAGTTCTCAACGTATCCTTCAAGATCTGTATGGTACATTTAGATTGCTCGCCTGTCTGCTGATAAAATAGAGTACTAAGATCTACTAATGTAACCAATGTTTCTTGGAAAGATTTTCAAAATGGTGCAGTAAATTGTGATCTTCTATCATAAATGATGGATAGACCCCGTATAGTTTAATAATTTTCCATTCATGTATATTTGAGTATATTTATCCTCAGTGTGAGAAGTTTTAACTGGCAAAAGTGTGCCTACCATGTAAGTCAATTTTTAATTACCTTATTACCACATATAATTATAACTTCTAATTCTTTGAGGTAGTTTTGTCACAAAATTTACTTTGATTCTATTCAATTTTTACTTTGGAATCCCGAGTTGTTGTAGTACGCATGCGAGTCATAAATGTTGACATACTAACAAATTAAACTGTTAGAACTAGGTTAAGTTAATCTTCCTCTTTTTTCCATAAATATAATTTTCTTCTAGTCATGGTATATCTTACTAGGATCCGAATGTACAACGTATTTAAAGTTTTGAGTTCCTCAAGAATAACTCATCTTAACACATCTACATCTAGTACATATATCTAAGTACCTAGTTGAGAATATAATTTCTGTCAATAGTTATATCCTTGCTTTTTACTAGGTAGAACCTCATCTCGATGTTTGCACAATAGCTCATCTTTATATTAAGTGGCATTTATGTACTTTACTAATGAAGACCTTACTTGAACACAAGCCAACAATGGCTCTGAAATTTTTCACACTAAATCTGACACCTATACCATTTAGTCTGTGCATATTCTTAACCAAAAGTCTCTTTATAGGAGCTATATTCGTCGAACTACCCTATT